TATATTCATCCAGAGGAACTGTATAAAGAGACTATCATACCGGGAAGGAAAGTTACAGTGCATGTGAATTTCTACTCTCGAATAAAAGATGGACTTCCAATGAAACTGTTAGATAGATCAAGACAATAAAATACTACACTATCCAGCACTGTCTGTGACTATAATGCCATGATATACTTAAATAGAATGTTAGACTTGTGACTATTACTAAAGGACTGTACTACCATGATAATATGGGGACAGAGGAAGGGTAGAGCAAGGAAGGAATTCCTATACCTAAAAAACTAGATTATGGAAAATAACATTTTTTTTATTTAACTACTGTAGAAAATAAATTTGCAGAGGAAATGCACCAAAGTTATTAAAGACTGTATTTGGAAAATGAAAGCAATGTTAGAAAAACAACACACACACACGACAAACACGACACACAGCTGCCATGTGCGTACACACTCCAGACACCCAGTAATGTCCCTTCCCGCACCCTGGGTGAGGCTGGGTACACAGCATCAGTGGTGGATCCTTGGAGGGTGGGAGGGGCTCCCGAGATGGCAGGCCTCTGCCTGAGAAACACGCTGTTACTGGTCCAGGTGATGTCTGCAGTTCTACGGAACAGGTGAGTGTGTGTACTTGCCAACAGTACTTACTCCGTCGTTGCACTTTAAGGAGCACTGAGGGCGGAGACAGCTGACCCCAGCAGAGCACCATCACTCCCACTGTGTGGGCCGGCCAAATCCACTCTATAGATGCTGAGCCCTTCAGTTTTCTTCCACATAGTTCATTTCTTCTTTGCCCACCATCCACTCTACCTTTAGTAGATAGTAATTCTGTTAAAAGAAGATCTTCATTCTCCACCTTCTACTTCATCACTTCCTTTGTGTGTGACAGTTGATACGTGGATTTTTAGTTATTTCAAGTATAATAAACAACACCAGTATGTGTATCAAGTCTGTAATATTAAAATTTAAAATTTATTATCTGGGGCCAGCATCCCACACAGGCTCCAGTTCAAGCCCCAGCTGCTCCACTTGCAATCCAGCTCCCTGCTCATGCACCTAGGAACGCAGCTCAAGATGGTCTAAAGTCCTTGGGACCTTGCACACCAAAGAAAGATCCAGATGAAGCTCTTGGCTCCTAGCTTCAGCCTGACTCAGCCCTAATCATTGTAGCCATTTGTGCAGTTGACCAGCACGTGAAAGATTTCTTGATCTCTTTCTCTCTCCTTCCCTCCTTACTTGCTTTCCCCTCTCTCACTTTCTCCTTCCCCTGCCCCTTACTAAACAGACATCTAGTATTGTCTACATTCAAGATTACTAAATTGTTTAAAGAATACTCTAATGCTTTTTTACACAAACCAGGATCAGTCAAGTTTCAGCCTTTTTTACAAATAAGGATTCAGTCAAGTTTGCTCATTATGTATCTTTAATCTCCTTAGTTTAGAAGTTTAGGATCTCCTTTATTCATGACAATGGCTTTTGAAAACTTAGGGCTAGCTAGTTGTATGATGTTCACTTTCTCTTAATGTTTGGGTATGCTGAATTTTTTCTATTCTCTTTCCTTTCATAAGATCCTAGGCTTGAATCAGTGAAAATTTTAAAAATGTATGTCTTATGGTAAAAACAAGATAAATTATCCAAGAGTTGCATGAGTCTCAGTGAGATTAAATAAATTTGGAGAACATTTGTAAAAATACACATTTTTGGAAAGACAAGAGAGTGTAAATGAAATCCTGAACTTACAGAATAACTTACTATGAATACACTTGATATATTAGTAAATAAAATCAAGTCTACTAGGTACATTACCTTTTAAAGGAATTACATGGGTTCCTGTCAGAAATCTGTGGGTTCCACCCACAACCACCATCTTGTGGTGGGGGCAGGTGAGTTCATCCTCCGGGCTTGGATGGACCAACTTCCCAGCAGCGTGGCAACTGCTAGAGGCTTCTGAGTCAGGTAGGACTCAATTCTCGGGGCCTTAGCCCCAGCCATTGTTGCCAAGCAGAGTGCGAATCCAGGGCTTGCAGGTTATCAGAGTGTCAGTTGGCACTCTGGCCAGCCAGGAGTGAGCTATAGGATCTTGGGGTTGCAGCATTACTGCCTAGGGATATCCATGGATAAGGCCACTGTACGTGTAGGTGAGGAATAAATCCTGAGGGACTCCCAACAACAGGACCACTATACTTGAAGGTAAGCAAGGGGACTGAAACCTGGTGACTTGGAGACTGGAAGATCTGTACGGGTCTTACACCAGCCCACGTGGGAGTCCTGAGTAGGGCTTGTTAGCATGGAACATTGGTGACCACCACATGCCAGTCCATGCAAAAGCTATGGCTGGGGGTCTGTCTAGCAGGGCTAGATCCCAGTGCTTGACTGAATGTCAGAACAGGGAACAGGTCATATTAGACAGGATCATGTCACCAACCAGCACACAAGAAAATCAGATTCTATGGGGGATGTTTGGACCAAACCCTGTGGAAATGCAAGTCCCACTGGTTAGCTCAAAACATTGGGTGATGACGGACTGAACTAGGCATGATCATGGTACCTGCCACTCTTACAGTTACAAGGACCGAGAATAGTCTGGGCATGTCCAGGCTGCAGCACCTACATGTGCATCCTAAAAGAGGGTATGTGGCGGGCCAGGCCACAACATTCACAAGCTCATACAGGGCCAAGATGGAGGAGCAGGCTATGCCAGGCAAAAGCCTAGCATCCACTGGCATGCATGAGATCTGGGTCTGGGAGTAGGCCAAATGGGGGAATGTGGGCATCTCCCCTAGTGGGTCATAGCTCCCACAGGTGAGTACATGGTCCAGGCCTAGGAATCGAGCAAGCTAGGCAATCAGCTCCAACTAATGGCTAATGTGTGGGTTGATTTTGGAAGGTGGCAAACCAGGCAGGACTAAGCAAACCTTAGCTCAACGACAAGTACAGAAAACAGGTTGGAGCACAGGTCATGCTGGGCTAGGCTATCATACCTACTGGTTTGCATGAGCCAGGGATGGGAGCAGACTGAACAAGGCCAGGTTCCAGCACCCACTAGCAAGAGTACGGACTTGGGGCAGGCAGGGGCAGGCCAGGCTATAGCATCCAAAGGAAGAGGCCACGACAGGTGAGGGACTATGCCAAGCTGGGTCAGAGAACCCCTGGCATGCACAAGATCTGTGGCTGGGAACAGGCCTGGTTGGAGAGAGGGATGCCCTGGCTGTGTTGTGGTTCCCACTGGTGAGTGTGAAGGCCAGAATGCGGGCTGCTATTTAGTCTGGGCATGGCTGCAGTGTCGCTCGGCATAGCGTGGACTGGGTTTGGGGTGTGCCAGACTGGGCTAGACTCCAGCACCCACTGGTGCTCGTGAGAACCTGGGTAAGTGTAGGACAGGCTAGGCTAGGTCTCTGTCCCTGCTGAGCCATGTGTGAGCTGTGTCTGGGTGTGGACCAGGCTTGGCTAGGCTGTAACATCCAACAGAAAAAACCGGAATGGGTGAAGGCCAGTCAAGAAAGGCCACTGTTCCTGTTAGGACAGGAGGTGGATAAAGTAGGGCTGCCTCCTGGACCCACTGATGTGCATGAGATCTGGCATTGGGAGAGGTTCTGATGGAGGAGCTTGGGCAACTCCTCTGTCAGGACACAGTCCCTGCAGGTGAACACAAGAACCACATTAGGGAGCAGCCCAGACCAGGCGAGGGAACGATACCTACTGGCATACATTTGGCACAGGTTGGGGGCGAACCAGGTTGGACCAGTTCTTATCACCCACTGCAAATACAAGCACAGCATCCACTGGCAAAAGCCGAGGTGAGGTACATCATGCTGGCTGGGCTGTAGTACCAAACCAGCACACACGAGACCAAGGGGGGAGGAGGCAAACCCGGTAGGAGGGCTGTGTGGCGCTCCCCTGCTGGATCACCACTCACACTGGAGAGCTTGAGTTGGGATGGGGCAGACCAGGTTGGGCAGGGCTACAACACCTGGCGGCCTCATGTGAACTGGACCAAGGAAAAGTCAGACTGGGTTGACTCTTCCTTCTGGTGCATGCATAAGTCAGAGTGGGTATGGGTTGGTTGGGCTTTATCACAGCATCAGCTGGCAGAGGCTGGCACAGGGGGCCCATTCAAGCTGCTATCTACCAGTATCTGCATTAGCAGGCAGCTGAAGTCTACCAAAGGCTGAAGGAGTCATGGGAGTCCTCTCAGCAAAGACTTGGCTGGTTCTGCAGTTTACCTTGACAGAATCTGCCAGTGATGGCTGAAGTAGTTTGCCTCTGCCACCCGGCAGCTCCTAGCTTTAGCCTGAACCAACTCCAGCCATTGTAGGCATTTGGAAAACAAACCCTCTCTCTGTCTCTCTTCCTCCAAAACCAACAGGAAATTACCACCGGGTATGATCCATTAGCGACATTTAAAACAGATTAACTGTCTTCCTGAATGGGTACCTATGTATCCTGCCTTTTAGAAAGATTGCATAGGTTGCAATCACAAATACATTACTTGGGACTTAATTTCATGATCACAGAAAGGTTTCCTTCCTTATGCAAGTGATTTCTACCAACACCACAAAGATTGGGGAGACATTGAAGCTTCTTGTAGGAGAAGCACAGCCTTTGATGTGGAGCCAACTGAATCTTGAGAAAGCAATATCGTACTTAGCCCCAGAGAGGTTGCCAAACAAAGTAATTAAAGTTTCTCCACATGGCCCCCATGAGCATTAAATCAGCTGACTCATAAGCAGACACCGAGAACATGTTATCCCCTACTCACATTTCCAAGTGCATACATGCAACCTAGTGGAATTATCCTCGGTCTCAAGGTGATGGCAAGTTAAATAGCAGGTGTTTTTAGTGCTGAACAATTGCCGAAGGCTGGTACCTTCGAGATGCTTTAGCCAATGATGCATTGTCACTACATGATCAGAGCAAAGATTCACACACGGACTACATTTAAGAAACACGGGAAATCTTGCCCCATCTCTGAGCCCCACCTCCCTCATGAGACACAAGTACTCAATGAAGAAATTTCACGTGGCTTTGCAGGTGTCCATCTTGCCCAGGAGTCACATCTTTGAGGCAGGCACAGGTGACAAAGTGATGCTGATGTGAATGGATCAGTCTTTCAAGATGTTTGATGATTTCATAATCAGGAAGAGCAAGATTGGTCACATTTAAGCCCAGCATCTGAGACACAATCTCCCTGAAGTCCACCAGCTGCAATATCAAACACAAAACATGACCTGCCACTGCAAGGTGTATCAACTACCTCCGGGCCAAAACCAACAACAAAACAAAAACTGGAAAACTCAGGTTTACATGAGATCAGTAAATTCCCTAAGCATGTTAATTATTGTCCTCTTTAAAAAAATTCAAATCACAGGCCCGGCATGGTGGCCTAGCAGCTAAAGTCCTCGCCTTGAACGCACCGGGATCCCATATGGGCGCCGGTTCTAATCCTGGCAGCTCTACTTCCCATCCAGCTCCCTACTTGTGGCCTGGGAAAGCAGTCGAGGACGGCCCAAAACCTTGGGACCCTGCACCCGCATGGGATTCCCGGAAGAGGTTCCTGGATCCTGGCTTCGGATGGGCATAGCATTGGCCATTGCGCTCACTTGGGGAGTGAATCATCAAATGGAGGATCTTCCTCTCTGTCTCTCCTCCTCTCTGTATATCTGACTTCCCAAAAAAATAACTAAATAAATCTTTTTTAAAAAAAAATATTTTAAAAGTTCAAATTGCTTATAGAACACTTCTGTTTTCCTCCCAGGTGATGAACCAGTTGACATTGTATTGGCTATCAAATCTTGAGACTCCACCTCACTAAAATGATTTCCTCAAGTGAAGGATGGATTAACCATATACTCACTTCTGAATATTGGCAAGTGAGAGGATGACTAGGTATTCACATATCAGGAAAAGTTGATATAACTGTGTCAATGGATGATACATTCTATGCATTGGAATTTTAACCAAGCAATAAACTCTTTTTAAGAGATATTTTTTATTTGAAAGTCAGAGTTAGTGACTTATAGTTTATTCCCCAAATGGCTGTAATGACCAGGACTGGGCCAAGCTGAAAGCAAGAGCCAAGAGCTTCATCTGGGTCTCACATAGGAATGGCAAGGGACCAAACACTTGGACCATCTTTCGTTGCTTTTCCCCACTGTTTGCAGGGAGGTGGATTAGTAGTGGACCAGCTGGGACATGAACCAGCACCCATGTGGGATGCTGGCATCAAAAGTGGTGGCTTTACCACTATGCCACAACACTAGCCCCACAATGAACTTCTTAAACCAAAGGAAGAACAAATGACAACGAGTATGAGTGATGGAAAGTAGGAAGACTTCCGATTACTATCAAATCACATTGCAGATTGACATCTCACAACCCATAACACTGGACTGCTCTAACACAGCATTTGCTTAACATGAAAGAAAAAAAAAAAGAAAAAATGGGAGTCCAGGGACGGTGATTAAAACATATGTCATGGGTACCAGTGTTGAGGTGCAGCATGTTAAGTTACTACCTGCAAAACTATCATCCCATATCAGAGCTGTGGTGGGACTTCCAGCTCCCTGCTGATGAATCAACTCTTTGGATTTGGTTGGAAGGCCAGGCTTCCAGCTGCAGCCTGGCCCAGCCCCAGCCACTGCAGCCACTTGGGAAGTGAATCAAAGGTGCAAGTTCTCTTTGTTTCTTTCTCTTGGTCCCTCTCCCCTTAAACAAATAATAAAATACATCATTTTAAGAAATAAATATGCCTCACAGCTCTGAAACCTGTTGGCATCTCAGTGGTTCCAGGTTAAGGCAGAATCTAGCAGCAAGGATATCTGAGCGACACCTCCTCATGGTGCCTTCCACTTTAGCAAAGGCATGATCCAGCCTGAAGGCAGAGTCATATCCGCAACTGTCTCCCAAATGCTCCCATTGCTTCCTAACCTCTTGCAGAGTCCAATCTGGGAACTAATATGCCATGGTCTAAATATTGTATTCCTCCAAAATTCACCCCATTATTGAAACAAGATCATGAAGAGGTAGGGCTTGGGCGGTGATGAAGTTTAGGTAGCTTTATAATATTTGGAGCCTCCATGATCAGGTTGGAACTCTTATAAAAAAAAAAAAACTAGAAAACGGCCTTGACCTTCCACCAGATGAGGACTCAGGGAGAGGGCTCCTTCCATGAATCGGAGGTTGAATTTGAAGGCACCAAGGAATTGAACTTCCCAGCCACTGGAGCTGTGAGAAGAGCGAGCAGTTTGGAAGTATCTGGTCTACAATGTTCTGTAACAGTTACCTGAAGGAACTTAGACAACTCTCCATTCTCCCAGACAAAATGTTTCCTCCCTTTCAAAGGTGGCCAAAGCTATTCCTTCCCAGGAGGCTTCATTTCTGAGACCACCAGAGTGGCTTTTTCCCACCCTGCCTGACACACGAGCCCCACCTAGTTCTGAGAACCAAAGCAGAGGCAACCAACCAGAGACAGGCAGAGAGACAAAGAAAGCAAGAAAGAAAGAAAGAAAAAGGAGGAAGAAAGAAACCTAGCATCAGAGTCAATGCTCTGCCCTTTTGAACCTCAGAAAAAGAGTGACGTGAAAGCCAGAGGCGAGGGTCAGGCTGCCCTGGACGTTCCTTTACGCCTGACCTCCTGATATGTTCGCCAGATAAAAGGCGCAACCAGCCCGCCAACGAGGCCTTTTTTATGGCTAACATCTGGGCTCGGTCGACTGTGAAGTGTGGGTGCCACCGTGTGAGACATGGCCCTGTTCCCTTCCCGGATCTCCGCTAAAGATAAGGCTTCCCACCTGAGGCCCAAGTCCTGGTTAACGTTACAAGATCTGGGATGATGCAAACTCCAAAGGCAATCACCAGACAATAAAACCTCACCACAAGCACAACTTGGATTCTCACCAGCTTTCCACTGCTTTGATAAGAACGATTTTTTTCCTCTCTTACAGTGCCACATCATGAAAAAGTGAGTTATTTTTCTTCACAGGATAAATCATAACGGTTATCTGAATGCCAAAAAGATGCTGAGAGGGTGAATGGATAAGTTGAAACGATACGCAAAATCTTTGGAAGCTGTGTTTTAAGAATTGAATGAATGATGTCTTGTTTAAAAGTGCAAATACTAAAAACAGAAGGACACGGAGATCAGCATGTCTCCCAGCTAAGGATGACATTCATATTCAAGCAGCAATTCGTGTTTTTAAAAGCAAAGAAATGAGTGACTAGCAAACAAGTTTGGGACTGTCATTTCCTAATCAAGGTTCTCCCACCAGCTCCCTACCCACCTGCCTTTCTCTCTTTTCCGCTTCTTCCAGAGATTTCTTTAGTGTCTTTATTTCCCTCGTTACCACTTCCATCATGTTTCTGGCCCTTTCCTTGTCTTCCTTAGCGTCATGCTCTGTGGTATCCAATTCTGACTTGACCGACAGCAGCTTCTTCTCAGCTCTCTCCTTCATCTTTTCCAGCTTGTCCCTGGATTTAGTTAGCTCTTCAAGGGCTTTGGTCTGTTCCAAAGTTTTAATCTAAGAAATCAAGAGGATGCTGGTCATTTCTATTGTCTTTCTTTAAGAAAACTGTATAAGCAAGTCAAGTCAGAAGTCAATGGAACTACTTAGTAACGATTTCATGAATGAAGAAGAATGAAACTCATCGCCAAATAGGTCAATAGATTTCGCTAAACATTAGATGCTGGGTGAACATGTGTTAAGGCAGTTGTACTTTAATATATATTATATATTTTTTTCAGATATAATATATATTATACTTTTTTTCAAATATATATTTTATATATTTTCAAATATATATGTATAAATATTTTATATGTATATTTTATATGTACATATTATATATGTTTTTTTTCATATATATATGTATTATATATATATATATATTTGAAAGGCAGATTTTACATGAAGAGAAAGAGAGATAAACAGAAACATCCTCCCTCTGGCTCTCCCACATGAATGCAGGGCAGACGATGAGCATGGCAGTGGTATGGGAGCTATTATCTTATGGGCACAGTTTCGGTTTGGATTGAACATGCTCCGAAAATGAATCTTGGTAATGTTTGCACGAAAGTATGAATATCAAAACTACCACTGATCTTCAAACTTGATAATAGTTAAATGGCACATTTTAAGTACTGTTCATTTCACCATCATAAAAAAAAATTACAGCTATTTCAGAGACACACAAAAAAATTTTAATAATTAAATGTTAAAATACATGCAAATAAACCATCACTTAACATCCACTAGTATAGCTAAAATAAACACAGACAATAACAGAGGGTTTATAAGAATGTGTGCAAGCTGGGACTCTACCCACTACTTGAAAGAATATAAATTGGTATAGCTGTTGTGGAAAATAGATGGACAATTTTTAAAATGTTAAATGTAGAGCTACCGTGTGACTCAGCAATTGTACCCCTAACAGTATGTCCAAGAGAATGGAAAACTTATATCTACACAAAACTTGTTCTCATATATCCAAAGAAACATTATTCACAATTTCTAAGAAGGAAAAACAACACAAATATCCATCTGAATAATGAAAAGGCAAAATGTCATATAGTCCCACAATGAAATGTTACTGAGCAATAAAACTAAATGGAGTAGGAAATGTTGCATGAATACAGCTTGAAAACGTTGTGCTAAAGCGAAGAAAGCTGACACAGAAAAAGATCTTCTGTCATTAATTCAGTCCTCAAATACCCAAAATAGCCAGAGGTGAGCTCGGCCAAAGCAGGCTTCACTCAAGGGAATCAACTGCCCTCAGAAACTGAAACAGCTGAGTGGCTTGAAATCAGGAAGGTATGAAAACAACAACTGCAGCTCGGGACAGAAAAAATAAAATGCCCAGAGCTAAGAGAAGGGATTCTCCATGTGCACAAGGAAATGCCATCTAGTACAAGAGGGTGCTTTCAATGAGCTGGAATGGAGACCATCCCTGGAGCCCACGTTATCAGAATCCATTTGAATATGAAGTGGATATCAGAGAACGGTATATGGCACAGTACTGTCCCAATGTTAATTTCCGAGTGTGATGAGTGCATTGAGGTCATGCAGAAGAAAACCCTTGTTCTTCAGAAGCGCACAGCAAAGTCTCTTCTCTCTCCATCTTTCTCTCCTCCTCCTCCTCCTCTTTCTCTCTCCCTATTAACCTTTTTTCATTTTAAATATATTAATAGAAGAGATATATTCAGCCTTTCTCTTGAGATGAGGAAAACAGTTACAGTGGGCTCCTTACCAAAGGTGATAGAACACAGCTTGGAGAGCTAGATGCAAGTTGAATTGAATCCTAATGAGAAAACTGTGTTGCCAAGAATTTCTGAAAAACATGAGACTTTATCACAGTCCTAAGGACTGCCTGAATTCCTGTTGTCAGGAAGCAAATCTTGGAGCTCAAAGCCAAGCCACCAGGACAGAACTTGCAGCCAGCAGTGGTGACAGAGGCCTCAGCTTCCTGAAGTTAAACTAGTCAGATTCCTGGGTGTGGGATAGGACTAATTCAGTGTCATTCCACCAGGGCCTGGACTACAGTAAGACCCGGACCCCTTGCTTTCTGCTGGGCAGGTGGAACTAACTGTAAACAAGACTGAAGAGCAAGCCCACTCCCCTTGGGGAAGCACACTACCTTAGGGAAATGATCTGAAAATATGGTAGTCAATTCTCCCATATCATATGGGCCAATGGCCCAGGGGGGAAAAAAGTGAACATGTTTGAAAATCAAGTGTGCTGGCTCCCCTAGAGAATCTAAATGTACTACCAGAGGTCAAGGCTGCCCTCAAAAGTGGCCATGGCAGGAATTGTTGCAAAGGCTCTGAAAATGCAGTGAAGCAGCAAAGTGTGAGTGGCCCCTGTGAGCCCCAAGCCCCCTCTTTAAAGAGGGTCACTAAGATCTAACCAAAGTAGAAAGGTAGCAGAGATCAAGGCGAGAAGCTTACACCCTCGGTCCCTTTCATAACCCCAGGCTCCCAGGAGGATCTTCTCTCTCTGGATCTGTCATCCTTATATAAAAGCTGCCAAGCAGAACAGTGCCAGTGAGCCAAGCTGGCCAACAGACCTCTGCAGAACCCAAGCAGGAGATAAGCAAACAGGACAAACAATGCAGCGAGTGGCATGGAGACAAGTCTAGAGTGGAGAATGAACATGGAGAGCACTTGTCCTAATAGAGACATTTCAAGAGAGTTAGAAAACAGGAGAAACTTTAGGTGGCAGCTCAAGAATTTTATCCCCTTTGGGTGCTTCCATTGGAGACCAACAAAAATTAACAAGGGCTTTCTACTGGTTTTTCGTTTCTGACTGTTAACCTGGGGTTACAGATCCTTGCTAACTTTGTGCCGTGTGGTACAGCTAAGAGTTCTCCATCAAATGGCTATTCTTCATCTCTTTCTTACTGTTTAGATTACTCACTTCTTAGGGTGCCTCCCTATAAAGGGTGTCCAGGGACTAAGTTCTAGCATTGGAGACACAAGAAGTGTATCGTTCCAAGAAACATAGCAAACATCCACACTTCGCCCTACCTGCTGACTGCAGTAGCTGGAGCTCTAATAGCTACTTGAGGTCAAGAAGGGAGGTTGAAGATTAAATGTATAGGTAATATTCTAAAGCAGAAAGATAGAAGAAGCCTTGGTTGCTGATGACTATGGAGTGAGTTAATATCCTGGGCATTGAAGGTCTTATCTCATTCCATGCTTCTTTTCAGGGAGGGAAAAAAAAAAATTTCTCCTATCTAAGCCACCAACATAATGGGGTATTTGAATATATTCAGTTCACACTCATCCTAAGAGATGCAAGCCATGAAGCAGCTGGCATGTTCCATGTCCTCTGGAATTCTGCCACATGATTTCAGGGACTGTGCATGTATTTGTGTACACGGCTGTATTTGTGCCAACTAATAGCAGTGCTTTAATTGTCCTAGGTTAATGAGAAAAGAGCAAAGGTAGAGTTAATACATAAATAATATGCTCATACAAAGTGAAGGCCAAACCATATTATGGTAGATATACAAATAAAGAATCTACAATAGTAAAATAAGCACATGATACAGTATCTGCCTCTTCTTAGGAAAAAAATAAAATACTGACATGCCCAACTCAAAGGAATCTGTACCACAAGAATCATACACTCCTAGCAATTTCAGTAAAATAACATAAGCATGGGCCCAGTGCCACGGCCTATTGGCTGAAGTTCTTGCATTGCATGCACTGGGATCCCATATGAGCACCAGTTCATAACCCAGCTGCTCCAGTTCATCCAGCTCCTTGTTTGTGGCCTGGGAAAACAGTTGAGAACTGCCCAAAGCCTTGGGACCCTGAACTTGTGTAAGGGACCCAGAAGAGCCTCCTGGCTCCTGGCTTCCAATCGGCTCAGCTCTGACCACTGCAGCCACTTGGGGAGTGAACCAGTGGATGAAAGATCCTTCTTTCTGTCACTCATTTTCTCTGTAAATCTAACGTTGCACTAAAAAATTAAGTTTAAAAAAATAAAATAAAAAATAGAACATATGGAAATATATCATTAATTTTCTACATTTTATTATTATTTTTATTATCATTTTCTGATACAGTTCCATAGGCTCCTGGTATTTCCCTTATCCCAGCCCCAATTCCACCCCCAGCCTAGTTCCTTTATATCATTATGAAAATATAGTTCTTCATACACAGTCATATGTCCATCATTGTGGGCATGGACAATGGCAAAGAATCCAGCATCCTATTGTCAAGATATAGTAAACAGTTTCATTGGGAATCCATCTTTATCTGGAATTACAAATGGATACTACATTGTATCCTCACATCTGGATGTTAGTCTCCATTTCACAGCTACTGTACATCCCCTTAAATGAAGTCATAATACAAAACCAACAATAGAAAGAAAAATAGAAATTTACAATGCCATGAAGTTAAATAACATGTTACTAGATATGACAGTCTCTATTACACAACTACTATACATCCGCTTAAATGAAGAGCCACAAAACAAAATCAACATCAGGAAGAAAAAGGAAATTAACCACACCATGAAGTTAAATAACATGCTACTAAATTCTTGCAGAAAATGATGCTACTCTATGATCTATGAGTCACTGAATGATTTAATCAGAAGAAGGTGTTTTGAAGAGATGAAACTAACCAAAAGCATCAAATCCCATGTGATATAGTTTCCGCTGCTCTTTGTTAGTGAAGTGTGTCTCTTCTCGACAACAAATAGATAGGTTTTGTTTTTTAATCCAGTCTACTAATCTATGATGTTTGATTGACCTTCCATTTTTATCCTGTGATTTGTAAGTTCCTTTAGATTTCATAATAGTGAAAGTGCAATAAGACTAACAAATGTCTACACAGCTTTAAGTTTGTACCTGAGTACATAAGCAACACTATAACAAAACTATTTTAATGCAACACAATTTAGCAGAATCTTTGAAAAAATATCCTAGCCATGTATAGGATGCATAGGATATTATTAAAGGGATACCTATAATGCTTCTGTCCACATGCCAAATTAAAACAATTTTCTTG